CGTTTGGCTTGAAGCAGTTTTCTTCTCCTGTGAACAAATTAGAATTGTTTCTTTGTTGTAAGTATATTAATGAAAGCATTTATTTTGATTTAACAAATGACTAAAAACATCTTTCAAATAATTCCCAAACATGTGTTTACATGAGGTTTTTAACCGTTTAATTGGCTTATCTCATCATTTTCTGTGCTGCTAGGTTTATGGCTGATTATATGAAGTATGTAGTTGTTAATACCTATCCTATTCGGACCTAACCTCTTTCGATAAGATGTGCTCCAATTCATGTTAATGGCAATAAAGTATCTGTGTTTCTCGCACTTTTGAATTATATGTTCATTTGATTCAGGATAGCGATCAGAGGGACCATATCCAACCAGAGTGACATTTTCTGTTGTACGAGTATATGGCGCGAGCTGGGATAGCGTAGTCAGTATGGTCAGCATAGCGACTAGCTTCGGGCTGGACGAGAGGTCGGGGTTCGAGTTCCGGTAGGGTCAAAAATTTTCTCTTCTTCACGTCGTCCAGACCGGGTCTGGGGTCCACCCCACCTCCTATCCAATGGGAACCGGGGGGGGGGGGGGTGTAAATCGGCCGGGGCGATAAGCTGCCACTCACCTTAAACTAGTATTGATGTCAAGAAAATGTGGATCTATACACCCACTCCCCCATACGCCTTCATGATGTATTGCTTAATTAGCTAAGCACAGGGATAACTTTTATGAGTATAAGGTATGCATCTCTTCGTTCCACTCCCAGTTAATTAAGATCTAAATAAGATCTAAAATTTTGTGACGATAGTACATTAATACAAATATTATGTTTCTGGACATTATCCGTCGTCCTGTCTTTATCTAAAACAACGTCCTGTTTATATTTTTATTTTCCGGAGATAGGGAATAGATCTATCAATTGGCCCCAATCGAGTAGGTTTTACCTGAAGATGGAGACAGAATTCAGTCTCCGAAACGTTGTGTTTTAGAAAATAAACAGGACGGTGTGTTTAGATAAAAACAGGACGACGGATATAATCCAGATACATAATATTCGTACAAATTAGGATGTGTTTTGCATTAATAAACTAATTCGGCATTCTATGTATTTATTTTAATAAATAGAAGAAAAATTACACAGGCAAATGAAAAATATCGCTGGTTGGATATTCCACTGATCGCTGTCCTGAGCCAAAGGAATCTAGTTCACATTGTTACACCAATTTTATGTAACTTTTAGTTTATTAAGCTCTTTTCTTCAGTGTAGTTTTTTCTGTACTCCTTCCTTTAACACTGCACCCCCTCTCCGTGACTTTCGCCCTGATATGATCGCTCTAACAATATTTGGGTTTGAATCCCACTCGAGACATTTATATATGTGTGCGTTTATTCTGTATTTATGTTGTTCTGTGAATACGTAACGGCCTTGCGACGGACTGATCCCCCATCCAAGGGGTCCTACCGACTGTGTGCAGAAACTGAAAGAGCGGCCAAGGCCCAAAGGGCTGTACAGGCTGTAGGACCTGTCATTATGATAGGAGAATAATTGGTGCGCATACTGACGTCAGCAAGTTTGCTGCGCATGACAGTTTTCGTCAGAAGGATTGCAACGCAAGAGGCCTACATAAGATGTCAACAGAGCCTGAAGATTTGTCATATGCTCCTATTTATTGTAATTCAAATCCATTAAAAGATTTATATTATTGATTTATGCAATCAAGAATGTATACATTTTTTAGAAAAAATCATCTTGGGACGATGACAGAATATGAAGCCGGGAAGGAAGCAAATGCGGCATTCTGAAATAAATATTCTGCCGTGGCATTTTCATACATGTTCATCAGTCCATTTGCTGTATGCAGGCGACTAATATGCGTGGCCGAGGCGGAAGAATAAGGGGAAAGCTCTGGGTCGGATTTACAGTTGAGGTAAAAACTATCCCTGTAACAAGCCGTGAAGGCACATACGGTTGTGAGACGTCGAGGCTCCCACATTATCCAGACAGTCGGCTCACAGAGGGGGTAGGGTTGCCACCGCGACGCGCCGGCCGCCTTTTACACCCAGGACGATTCCTGGTACTCATTTCTGTTGCAAGCTGAGTCGACCCCAAGGCCATAGTGCGGATAAATTAGGTAAATTTGAAAAAAAAAAAATCCATCTCATCTGGACTCGAACCCGCGACCTTCCGCCTTGTAGCATAGTGCCTCAACCAACTACGCTATCGCGTGTCCCTTTAGAGTTGTGCGGGGGGGGATCAGAATTTGGAAGCCTATATCAGCAACAACAAATTTTGTGTGTTACTTTTTTCTTATTCGTTATTATAACTAAAATGAACAATAAATTTTCGTGATTTTAGAAAATAATATTTCTGGATAAAACCTGTGGATTCTATTTATGTTGTGTGGAGGCCCGGGGCGATCACCCCGGCAGTTTCCTCTTAAATCCGGCCCCGAGGGAAGCTGGACCGAGAGCTCTGCTATCCCCAATGCAAAGACAAGTAGCGAGTGCCAGAGTAACTGAATATGTTGGAAAATATTTACCACGAAGTACAATGAATTTTTCCATTTAATATCACAATTAGTAATCCGGCCACTCCACTGCGGCTATATGTGATGAAATATTTAAATTTCTACGAAATTCTTCAGACATCTTTGGCGGTAAGAGTAATCATTCGAAACATCTTCACTTGCACTTGAAAGTGATCACTGCACTGTCATTCCTAGTTCCTATTGAAATTTCGACCAGAATATAGTATCAATTTAGGAATAACTAGCGATGCCGTATAGAAACAAATGTTGGAAATAATTCTCAGAATTACTGGGTATTTGGACCACAAGATGAACCAAAACTCAGTAATTTTGAGTGTTATACATCATTGTCAGAACGCTTTAGAATCTATTTGGAATTAACATGTTTCTCGGCTACTCACATCAGCTGCAGAAATCAGTAGGAGGTGAACTTGTGGTTCGTTGAATATGATGCAGTCGTTCAGTGCTTTCCGATATGAAGATTCATCTGTTCTTTCTGATTACCATTACCATGGCAGCGCCATAACTCAAGCGGTTAGTCGCTGGCTTCCCACCGCGGCGGCCCGGGTTCGAACTCGTGTCTGGTCAAGTTGGATTTGTGGTGGACAAAGTGGCGCTGGGGCAGATTTTCTCCGAGTATTTCGGTTTCCCATGCCAATCTTCATTCCACCAAATTCTCCATCATCATAATCACACGGGGCAGGTACAATAGGCCAATCAGTGGCCGCCGTGCTTCGTGGAACCAGCTGGACTCCACCCCCCACTATCCGAATTAAAAATTAATTACCATTACCATGCTTGCAGTTTGGAGAACACGTATTTTCTAATTTAGTTTCGTTGTTGTTTTAAAAACAATTAATAGTAAGAACGTCATGTTCCGACCTGACTCCCATCAATTTATGGACTAGGATAAAAATTTTCTGGAAAACAGGGACCCATAGTGAAATTTATTGAGGATAGAATAGCGTCTTCTCTTTTAAGAGTGGAGCATTTAACGAGCTTATAGAAATGATAAGTGCAGAGCTTTCATCGGTAAACTTCAAAAGAAAAGGTCACTTCGGATACGCAAAAGAAGATTAGTAGCATAATATTAAAACGGATCTTGAAGGTGTGTAATCGTTTCATCTGTCTTATGATTCTGTGTAATGGCATTTTTCTAGATTCCATAAAAGCTAGGAATCTCGTGACTGGATGGATAACAATCAAATGCCCAATAAGAATCCGGTACTAAGGAGTCTGTGTCTCATGTTTAGTTGTAATCTTTTATTATGTGTGATTCTGTAAATTAAGTACTAACATAATTTATGTCCTACATAAAGACCTTCTACAAGTGATAGGACAGTTCAATTTGATTAAAAATAAAAATTCCAATAACAACGACGACCTCTGTTGCCAAATTTGATTCCAGATCCTGTACATGGCTTGGGAGAAGAAAAGCACGAACGATTTGACTAGCACGACTCTTCGATGTGTGTTCATTAGTGCAAAGAATGTATGTCAACGAATAAAAAAAAGTGAAAGGACTGTTGGATTTCACTTTGTACATTATACTCGGATTTACGGATACCATAGGCTATTGATACATTTTAAGCGTTGCATGAAAATAGCTGACAGTAACGTTGTAAGTACGGTTTCAATAAATATGCGCTTTTGGAGTCACAGAGAATGAAAATGGCTGTAACATGTTTGTCGACATATCGAAGTTTACGTCATTATGACCAAATATGGCGTCAAAGATTACTTCCCACTAGTTGATATCTAGTGATACTCTCTCGTCGAGTGCGAAACGTTGAAGGCGTTGAAGGGGGAGAGGATGATGTGTTGCTGAATGTAAAAATCTCTTGGTGTTACGTAGTGTAGGGCGCAGGTGTGCCAAATATATTTAAGCGTAAGTAAAGTATATTGACTAGTGATACATCCTGCCGGTGATTATTAGGACTTAAAAGTGGTGCCAATATGTCATCGATAGGAATTTGTGCGCTTGAAATGATATAAATGGTATCAATTGCAGCACCTGGTTTTTGACAATGGTGTTTCATCGATCGTGACCCACTAATTTATGCCATAGGGTGTTGGCTTCCTCATTCTTCGTTGATTATGAGTGTTTAAAGAGCCATCTCTGTATTGGTTAAATGACAGTTACGGTTGGGCGTACAAATTCACGCGGAGATATTAAGCCCCAAATAGTTTTGTTACTTTATAGGAAGACTAGGCGAAGTCTTCGTTGACCCTGTTCAAGACAGTGATTTAGGTTTTGAGGTTGTCGGAGAAATTAGTGTATTCTTTTGTGGCAGTTCATTCCCACACTCTAGAAGTGTACTCGCAAATTATGGCTAAGAGAGGAAGGCATTTATGGTCTTAAGTAGAATGAAATGTCATCCTTGCGCCAAATTTTGCGTGTTAGTGTGGAGAGAACAGAGGATAACACAGAAAGAGTCCAGAGGCATCAGTTGAAATTCTGAGAAAGATTATTTATATATTTCAGACTTCGTCGACTACGACGACAACCACAATGACAACAAACCAGAAACTATATGGAAAGGACCTGAGTGCTTACGATGATGTGGATGTTGATACGTTATTGTCCCAGCTGTCCCCAGAGGAAATAAACATTCTTGCCAAGGAAGTGGATCCAGATGTGAGTACACAGAATCGTTTCATAATAGATGTTTGAGTATAAGATCAGGTAGCAATTAATAAATCTGCTACAATGAATTTAATTACAAAACCAAAACACAGTGACTGTGCCATGTGATGTATAGCACTTTAGGTTATGTTATGCTAGGTTTCTTTGAGTTTTCCTCTTTTTACTATTTAGCGTTCTAGTTCTTAGCACAGTTGATTTGTGTACAGATTGGTCATCAGTTTTCCCATTTTCGTCAACAAACGTGTAGAGTTTAAGTTCCAGATTTGTTTGCGAGTCATTTCCTTATAAAATGTTAAAGGCTCATATACATAATGTTTAATACTGTAATTTCTGTCAGCAAGAAAACACACCACGTCTTTATTTCAAATATCATTCAGTTAGTGAATAGGATGTCAGGAAGACAACCTATGTTTATTCTAAAAGCCAAGCAGAATTCAAGAGTGTACTGTGAAAATAACTGAGGCGTTGAATGCTGAGGAAGTGATACAGATAGATACCAACATACTACAGTGGTTAAGATGAAGTTAGTGAATACCTGTGTTAGAGGCACATGGCACTGTGCCATGAAGAGATATTTCAAAGTACAACTGCAATTTCTTGGTCACAGATGAAGAAAAGCTTAGATATGTTAATTAAGAATAGGTGTTTTAATAGTCTGTTCAGACTGTTCTTTCTTATGGTAATGGTTATTGCCTTAATAGTAACAACAGTATTGTCACTAATGATACTACTTGTAATACTGATGGCCAGGATATGGCATCAGTTGGTTGTTTGCAGAAACAAAGATTAATAACCATGTCTAGAGAGCTCATCAGAATTGAATCTACACTGGGCATGCCTGTTGTATATCTTTCACACTTTTAGACTTCACTTTCAGTCAAAACACAAGACTTATTGAACAGCATTTAGAGCCTTACGGTAACATGTTTCAGTGCGAGTTGCCTCATACTCAGGCCGTCATTTTACTTATCTAAGATTCTCTAAAACTGCCAAGATGTATCATATTTTCACCTGCACATATAGCTCATTTTGAGAAGCTATGCTGGATAGAGCCATTATTTTATATTAGTTTTATTTTTGTTCCTGGCCCTTAAAAATTAATGTGTTTACAGGATATTGCTACTGTCATGAAATGATTCACACATTTTATTAGCCCTTATATACTGGTATATACTGTATATGTTAGAGAATATATTCCATATGTAATCTAGATAAAATTATATTAGGTAGTAAGGTTACATCTCATTTTTTGTTGTATAGTATCATTTATTCTTTCCATACTGTGTTCTGTCTGCATTAATTTTGTTGATGGTGTTACAGGAACTAGGCCTTCTAGAGCAGCTGACAAACTCATATGAAGGGGTGTTACTATTTTAATTGTATTGTGGACTAAGTACATGTCACTTCTCCCTTTGGATACCAGTAAATAGCATGCTTTCCCTGTGGTGCCAGTGACTGAGCGTTAATGAGTACATTAAAAGGCAGAAAATATTGGGATGCTTTGTAGTAACAATTTTTTTAATGTCTCATATATTTTGATGCGTTGAACAACATAATTGTCTCTTTGACTTTAAAACTGGGTAAATTCTATTACATTGTATGTAGAATACAGAGCAATTAAAATTGCTGGGAAAGATTCCAAGAACATTAATAAAACCCACATCATTACTGTGAAACACAGTTTATTTTAATGGGCCTCCTGCTAAATAGTTCTGTGCTCTTTGAGATGGGAACTAAGGATAGAATTTTTTGAGGTACATGTTCTTTGGACCATATGTTTTCACATACTTATCATCAGTCACTGTAATAGATAGGTCCTTCTTGCGTCCTGTTCAGAAAACATTCTTGTAGTAAAGATTTTGACATTATATATTGATACCAGTTTCATTTTTATTTAATCTGTTCCTTTCACCCTTGTTTCACTTGACTGACAATTACATTTAATGCCTTTATTTTTATATTTCATTATTTGTATATTTATTTAATTGAGTAGATTTAGAGCAGAACTTGAAATGTATATTTGCTGATATTCCGGTGAGGTCATGAGCATTCTGAACTTGATTACACTTAATAGTCTAGGAATAAGGGATTTAAAATCATCCAGCACTATGGAGCCAGTGGATGAATTTTGAACTGGAGATGGAAGGGGTGGCATTTTGTTCTTCAGGAATATGGAATTTCATCTGGCTCAGTGGGGCTGGCAGTTGTATTTAAATGTGGCAATAATGGCATAAGTGTTGAAAAACTCTAACCAGGTGTACCATGTGCACATTCTGTTACAATAATGCAACACATGGCCAGAAAAGTTTAGGCATCTCACATCATGATTGCATATGGGAGAGTGAAAGGAAAGCTCCACATATTCTTTACCTTGGCATTTGATGGAAGTAAGTGGTCACCCTCACCCCCAGTGTAAGAACCATGCTGCCTATGCCTGTTAGCCAATGATTGGAAGGCTGAGTGGGCCCCAGAGCTGGTCTGAACATAGTGGCAAAGATAGAAATTTTTACCAGTTTGGAAGTAAAAGTCTGTTTATCCAGACCATAGCCAGTCAATTTAGTGACTGAGCTATCCTGACCTCTAAGAATAACGAAGGCCATTGAGAATTAATGACCGCAAATGTTGATAGTCTCTTTACACAATTATGATATAGATTCACAATTAATAATGCTGACTTGATGCATCACAGGATAACCTTCTGCCGCCATCACAGAGATGTAGCTATGCATGTGACAAGGATCCCACTGGCCCACTGAATCGGAAGAAACTGATTGAGCACATCAACAAACAGGCTCTGGAAACACCAGATAAGCCAGAACTGAAACCATATGTTCCAGGCACTATCAGAGGGAAGAAGGTGAGCGTCATTCTCTGTGACATAATGGATCAGTAGAGATTTCGTTGTTTTCAGAATCATTGGTTGATTAATGTATGAGTATGTAAGAGAAACTTAAAATATTATGTGTTGTTAATGAAGTTGAGTGTGAGCCCAATTTGTCACCTTGCACATGTCCATTTAGTATTGTAATCCATGTGACACCAGACAGAGTCTCAGCTGTAGCTCTGATTCTTTTGTTTAAAAAAATCCAAATTAGCAATATCCACTCTCAACATTACTCATTTGACATAGGTAAAAGTATGAGGGTAGTGTCCGGGAATGGGGATTCCTGAAGGTGTGAAGTTCTTCCATATGATCTATCTTCGCAGAAAATATTCATTTAGATGTTCATAAACACCCTCTCTGTGTTTTAATTTTATGTCCTTACCATTATATTCCATGCAAAATGTATTTATTTTTAGTTGAATACAAGTTGTTATAACTCTGTAACTGTGCATTATGCTATATATACTATAGTAGTGCATATATACTATATGTACACTACTAATTATACACCCCTGAAGATGAATGATTATTTTCAAAACATATCAGGTAATTCGAGTATGTGAAGACTCATAATGTATAGTTTTAATAAATTGTATTAAATGGTTGAAAATAAATGGTTTGGAATCTTTGTACATATTGAACTGTACATGTTATCAGTAGGGCCCAGATTTTTTGAAAATGCATATGCGCATATGCAAATGCATATTTTGAGGGTTTTTGGTTGTTATTGCATATTCTAAACGTAAGAGCATATTTCTGCATATATGTGTGAAATTAAGGATGAGACAACCGATTTATGTGGCCGATACATAGCAAATTTTGTAGTTGTTAAGCTACAGCCAGACGAACTCAGCAAACCTCATCTTCTTGCTTGCAAAGTACTAGAGAAAACCAACCATAGCACAATGGCAAGATTTGTAAATTATTCTCTGTGACTACTATGGCCATCTGAAATTGAGAATAATTGTTGTAAGGTGTGTAGCCATCCGCCGAAGTACAGCTGCCACAACTGCCGCTCGAGCTTGAGTTCTTAATCACAGGATACGGGTGCTTCGGAGATGGGAGTGGAACACACGTCGGGGTAAATAAATCCGGGATCTCCAGAACATTGAATATCGTACTTTTAATTTAAAATTCAATTCAGCTGTTAATCTTTGCATAGTCCTTCAAGTTAGCCGCTCCGTCCGCCCTACTCGCTACCCTACAGTTAAACACGTATTTCTTCTATATCTACCATTCAACTACTGTCCTCCTCCGCTCCCTATAACCGACTGCCCTCTCTTTACCAGTCCCCCAGTTGGCCTAAAAAACGAAAAAATAGAAACATAAAAAGAGAAAGCCAAGGGTCGAGCCCGGCATCTGACCTACATTCATATTTTTCGAGAAGCCCATAACTTTTTTAGGTCTTCAAGGCACGCAAGACCCTTCCTGGCCGGTCTCACACACGGTCAGTTCATGGGTTTATGGTACTCGGAGTAAACCGGCGACGTTAGGAACAATAGTGGCACCCTTAGCCTAAGGAGGACAATCGCTGAATTACAACTAGACGGTCCCGGGATGGTATCTCGCCGATGGAGCGTCTCTCATGGGATTAAACAAGGCATCAGTTGTTAATGCCCTTAGTTAAATAATTTTGGCGAGGGATGTATGATTACAGGTGCTTTCTGTATGTTGAAAGCAGCATAGGCCTTACAAGTATTTTATCCAAATCTTATACACATAACCTGTTTAGCTCATGGATTAGACCGTATTGCAGAAAAAGTATGTGCACAGTTTCCAGCTGTTAACGATTTAATTGCAAGTGGAAAAAAACTGTTTCTGAAAGCACCAGCTCGTGTCCAGTTCTACAAAGATTGCCTACGTCAGGTTCCTCTGCCACCTGAACCTGTCCTAACTAGGTGGGGGACATGGATATCCACAGTTTCATTTTATCAGGAGAATTTCAATCAAGTAAAAGAAGTGGTTACAAAACTTGAAGATGAGTATGCATGTGTCTGTGAAGCAAAAGTGGTGTTTGGATGTGATACTGTTTATCAAGATGTGAATTTTATCCACGCACATTTTTCTACAGTTTCAAAAGCCATTGAGAGCTTAGAATCTTGTGGTGCACTTCTTCACGACTCACTTCAACTCGTTCAGAAAGCAACTTGTTCACTGAATTTCGTACTAGGCGAAATTGGAGACAAAATTAAATGCAAGTTAGAAATGGTGTTGAATTCGAACCCAGGACTGAAAAAGAATCAGTCAATTAGTCAGTACTTGAGTGGAATTAGGGTGTCTTTGCCAGATGAATGGTCCAAACCTTTGGTGCCAGTGTATAAATATTGTCCAATCACGTCAGTTGATGTAGAAAGATCATTCTCAGCCTATAAAGTCATTTTGATGGACAACAGAAGCAGTTTGTCTCCAGAAAAAACTGAAAGACTTCTAGTTGCCTATTGTGATGCTACTTTCTGCAGTGAATGATACATGTAAATAGGTGAGTTTGAATAAAGTGACCTGTTTCTTAAGTGCATATTGTTTTATTTTTGGTGCATATTTTCCCGCTTTTTAGTGCATAAAGATCCGGGTCCTAGTTATCACAAATCGAAGAAGATTGATCAATCACAGAGCTTGATTAAGGCCTAGTTCCCACTTCTTAAAAGTCCAAGTGGGCCCTTCACAGGGTAGTGGATTGGAATAGGACTTCAAAACCTTGGGCACCTTAATCTTTGGATCTTATTTGGTTACACTACTATCTCTCAGGCTACATAAAAAAAATAGTATTGAATGTCAGAAATGATGATATCGGCCAGTTCAAGTAATAAATATGACAGTGTTGTTTTTGTAACCTCAGATATTCTCACTTGGGTGTGGTAGGAATTGGAACTCTGTTGTGATGTATGCAGATTTATGAAAATACCTCTGACTTTAAACTACGTTAACAATATTGGTAACTTTTAATGGTTTCTCTTTTGTATCACATATCATTCATGTTTCTAGCACCAGTCATTATGAAATAACTAAGCTTGCTTAGAAACTGTACAGTAACTTTGCAGGCACATTGTGTTGAGATCCAGTGCAATGAAGATTTTAGTGCATTTTGAGTTTCACATGCAGTGTACGAGTATGCCCAGAATTAATAGATGATAGCTTTGAGATTTCAGTTCACTTGGGTCCTTGATTGTGGAATAGAAACGATTATAATATTTGTGTTCATGATTTTATCTAGTGGATTCCCCCACCACCATCAGCAAAGGAGGCAGAAGCAGAGGAGCAAATCACTATTGACTTGGGAGATGAGTATGAGCATGCGCTTAGTGCAGCCACACAAGAGGAAATTATTGATCTTGCTGGTAAACTTTCATTCTTATATTTTAGTATGTGTAGAGAAGTGCAAAAAGAGTTGAACAGTATCATCTGACAGTCCTGTGATCACTAATTTCTGAAGACACTGATTGTCGGAGTGAGATCTTAGTTTTTATATATACTGCAAAGCATCTGCATACACTTTGTCTGGGGAGCAGTGGATGTAAACACCAAGCTGAGAAAAATCTTAAATGGCATAGAATTAGCACTGATATTGTTGGTGTGGAATTATGAAATTAAGGAACAGTAAATGGGGATACTGTTCATGTAAAAATTTGTATTAATGGAAGCAGAGTCATTCATTTGTCAGGTGATGATAATTTGATGCTATTAGTATACTGATTCCTAAGGGCTGCACCATAGCTCAAGCAATTAAGTCGCTGGCTTCCCACCACAGAGGCCTGGGTTCGGTCCCGGTTCTGGTCAAGTGGGATTTGTGGTGGACAAAGTGGCGCTGGGGCGGGTTTTCTCCGAGTACTTCGGTTTCCCCTGCCAGTTTTCATTCCACCAAATTCTCCATCATCATAATCACACGGGGCAGGTACAATAGGCCAATCAGTGGCCTCCGTGCCAGGTGGACCCAGTTGGACTCCACCCACCACTAAGCGAATTAAAATAAAATACAGACTCCTATATGTTAAATAATTTGTGTTCGTTTGGACATGACATGTTAATATACTATTTCCATTTTATATCATGAATGTATGATATTAAGCTTGCCATTACTTTTTAAAAAGTTAGGATCCATTCACAGAGTTTAATAAAATAGTTCAGTACTGATATGTATGTATACAGTATTGAGATATTTAGTTTTGTCAGGCATCAGTAAAAATGCTTATGTTTTTAACAGGTTATCATTACAGCCAGATATTAGGCTTAGGAGTACGTGAACATACACATTGTGTCCAGGTTCTGTTAGGACTGTGTTCATTAAAAATACAAGACATGAATTCTTTTCAAAATTTCTCTCTTTTTATTGAAAATAGTCTTCTGAATCAGTACATAGCTGGAATTGATTGAAAAGTTTTCAAAAACAGTCACTGTACTCCTTTAGTGGAATCGCATTTAAAACTGCGGTAGATTCCCTTTGGATGTCCTGGATGGTGTCGTGATGGTCTCCTTTCATCGCCAACTTAACTTTTGGGAACAACCAGAAATCTGCTGGAGCCATATCTGGCGAATATGGATGATGATCAAGGACTGTGATTCATTTTCTAGCCAAAAAATCACGCATGATCTTCGATTTGTGGGGTGGGGAATTGTCATGGAGGAGCGACCAGGAAACTTGCTTTAGATATTCAGGTCAAATTTGAAGAATTCTCATCCACAAACGATTGAGGACTCCGAGATAATCAGAATTCACTGTTTGACCTTCTGGCAGAAATTCCTTGTGAATGATTCCTTTGCAATCGAAGAAAACGGTTAGCAGTGTCTTTACTTGACTCTTTTGCATGCACACTTTCATTGGTTTCGGCTTCTTTGGGCTCAACCACGCTGCACTCTACCACTTTGTGAGAGGCTCATTTTTAAAAGACAATGTCTTGTCACCAGTAACAATCGATTTTGTAAATTTTGTATCACTTTGGGCCGACCGTAACATTCTTTGCAGTGTTCCACTCTGGCATGTTTTTCATTGCCTGACAGCGCGTGCAGTACAAACCACCCACAGACCTTACATTTGCCCAAATCCTCGGTCAAAATTTGATGCACAGTACTTTTTGGTATTCCCAAAAGCTCCTCGATAAGTCTTGGAGAAACACATCTGTCTGATGCAAGGATTTCGGTCAATTTTTTCACATTTTCTTCAGTGCGACTTGTTCTAGTTTTTGATGCACATGTAGTGTCTTCAGTGTCCTCCTTGCCATCATGAAATACAGCATACCGTCGAAAAATGTTCGAACAACTCAGACAATCACTACTGTATGCACTTTTCATCATTTTGTATGCTTCTCTGGCTGTTTTGCCTAACTTCAAACAAAATTTGATATTTGATATTCTCTGTTCAACTGCTATTTTCCGACTTGCATCAGAACAGTACTGTTACATTCATGGTCAGAACACATGATGCAGCGATGCTTGCGCTTTGAAATTATAAGACAGCCACAGCTGAAACTTAAAGAATTTTAACACCACAACTCACTAACAGATGGCATTGCAGGGAAAAATTAAAAGAAAATGAGTCCTAATGGATCCTGGACAAAGCATATATATTTTCACTCTCTTTAAACTTTTGCATTTGAATTCTTGAGCAAGGAGTTATGCAGTAATATAGAAGGGTTGGTTCTTTGTTTATTTATGCCTTATTCAGTTATTCAGTATAGAGGGTGTGGGTTTCCCCATGCACCACGACTAATAGTCTGTTGTACGTCCCCCTTTAATTTCTACTGTCGCCATACCCTACCGATACTGGTGCCTGCTATCTCCTCTTTCTGCCAGTGAGGTCGGCCCTCTACTGGCAGTGGTACCCAATAACTCTCCCCTTTCTGCCAGCGAGGTTGGCCCTCTACTGGCATTGGTATCTGATAACTTCCCCATCTACCAGAGGCATTGGAAACTACTTTGGCGGGAAACATTTTGCCTAATTTTGCTCAGAGGTCTCCTAGAGACATGAGGATCTTTTACATGCTGTAAATCTACGACACGGGACCCACGGCTTAAAGTCCCTCCCGGAGGACTTGTTCCCTGAATTTTTCTGCCCTTAAAAATTCCACAACCTCCGCCGGATTTGAACCCGCGTACCTTGAGTTATGAGGTGGGAACGTTACCCCTAGACTACGGAGGCCGCTTTATGCCTTATGGACACTTAGGTTATATAACATTGATATAAACCAGCTAAGTCTCTGTATATATGATTCACAGTAGCCATCTGTCATGTTCTTTGGCTCAGAAATTAATAATGATAGCAGGTAAGTGCAAATACAAGGATTGTTTATTTTAAGAATAAAACCTCAGAAAAGTTAATTTTTGCCTTAATGTATAAGTTGGATTCCAAGTCAGTTTTTTCTCCCATAAAAGTGCTGGACCATGATTTCAGTGAGTAAATTTTCAAAGTAACCATGGTAATGAAACATGATCTGAAAGTCATAAGAATGACATGTGAATCCAAGAACACAGAGGTGTCAGATGTTGGTAACCACCATAAAGGTAAAGGTAAAGTTGTCCCTATGCTTAAGTAAGTGAACACTACGCCATGAAGGCATATGGGGGAGTGGATGTATAGATCCACATTTTCTTGACTTTGGCACTAGATGGAGGTGAGTGGTCAGCTTCACATCCCTGCCACTTTACCTCCGGTGAAGGATCCCCCAGTACTCGTTGGATAGGAGGTTGGCTCTACCCCAGAGCCAGTCTGGACAACATGGATAAGAGAAAATTCTTGACTCTACAGGACTCAAGACTCCAACCCCTCAGTCGTCCAGCCCGTAGCCATTCACTATACTGACTGTGCTATCCCATCTCATTGGTAACCAACTTGAACAATGAAAATTGGCTCATTTGTTCCTGAGAGCATGTTTTGGTGTGTGAATGATGGTTGGGATAGTGAAGTTTGCATTATGTGCTGTCACATGTTAGTAACTAGACACAGGGTTTATGTGGGTAATTGGATTTATCACAGGCTTATAAATTCTAACTACAAGTAATTATAGCACTCTCACTAATTCATACACTCAGCTTCACACCACAGCAGAGTGTAAATATTCTTAGTTTGTCTTCACTATTTGTTGCTTGGTTACAGCTCGCGACAGTGGAAATTCTTCTGCTCTCATGCTCATATTGTTGATGGTTTGCTACCCTCTCACAACTCATTTCCCTGGCTTTTAACTCTCAGTTAACTAACTTTTCTCGTTAGTTCTCGTCATATCATCTCAGGTTGAACATTACAAGAACACTGCATTGCCTAGCAGTAGCTTGGTTGTTTGACGAGATAGCCACATGTTTATTGTGCCACTGCACAGCAACAGGTGAAGTATCTTGTTAGAATTTTCCGTCATGTCACAGTGGATAGGGGAGGTTTGGAATGTTTTATTCAAATGTTTGCATAGAATAACACTCAGCTGTAAGCTGTGACAAGCTGCATGTGTGTGATTTGTATTTGCAGCTATTCTGGGTTTCCACTCGATGATGAACCAGGATCAGTATCACGCATCCCTGCTGAGCAAGGGTCAACCCATTGGCCTGGGCTGGGATGGGATCACTAAAGCATCACAACCAAAGCCATACCCTGCAGATCCTCCCAACATGACAGATCCTGACACCACTATAAAACAGGTTCAGGATGATGATCACACCCTTATTGATCTCAACTGGAACAACATTAAGGTAACAATCAGAGTCCTTTGTCAGTGTTTCCTTTCTAAAAATGTAAGGAGTAAGATGTACAGAACTATAATTTTACCATTTGTTTTATATGATTGCAAAATTTGGTCTCCAACTGTAAGGGAAGAAATATGTGATATGAGTTCTGAAGCTTTTGCATGTTTAAACTGTTTTGTCTTGTTTGATGAATGTGTATCAACTGCCTTGAGTGCTCTTCAGTTGCAACATTTACAAATGAAACCCAGGTTTCATCACCTCTTGCTTATATGATGTGATTGAGAAGTTCATTGCCATCTTTGTGGTATCGCTCTGAAAGGTCAAAGCTGAAGCCAGTCTCTGCATTTTGTGCAGACCTATGAGCATTTTTGGAATCCATCTTGCAAGAACTTGTGACAGCCTAAGCTGTGCTATCAGTGCATGAAATTTGTGGAAATTCACACAGAAGTTCTGAAATTGTGAAGCACCGTCTTTCACAGTTTTTTTGGCCAACACTTTGAACATGATTATCGCTCACTGCAGATGGCTGTTCATCATGAACATTTGTTCACCCACCCATCTTAGAACATTCTACACCACTGTCATATAGTTCCCTCACTCATTACATTTTGGCCATAACCCACCCCTAATTCATGATGGATCTCTGCAGCACTCATGTTTTTAGCATGAAGAAAGTTGATAACTGTGCATATTTTGCAGCTGTTGGGATTGTCAATTGCAGGACACATCATAAGCCACTCTGTAGAGATGAGAACAAACGCTAGGTGACCAGTTATGTGTTAGTTTACAAGGCAGTGAGTCATGTAACACTACCTCACATGCGTCAGCTCTCTCCCACTCCTACATTAGTTGCATACAATAAACAGAGGTTAATTTTTGAGTAGCCCTCACATTTCTGTATGTTTGTATATGACCTGCTTACCATGTGTCTGCAACAGCAGTCATATACAAAGTTCACTTCTGTCAGTAACTTGGGCTGGTTATGGCCTCAAGTGGCATTTCACCATGACAACATGGTCGAGCTGGACAAATGAAGTAGAGAATTCACATGTATCTATGTGTTTCTGTAATTTTGCTGTCTAAGAACATTTATTTAATTATTATATATAATATGTCTTGATTTTATGGGGTGTGACTGTAGATGGGGTTTGGATTGATAATTGGATTTACTTAATACTTATAGACACGACTCTGTAACTACAAGTAACTGTAACACTGTTGCTAGTTCACACTCTGCAATTCACTAAAGCACACACTTAGTCTTCTTAGCCTGCCATGTCGTCACCAGTTTTCTGGTATCAGCTTCCACCAACATATGTTCCCCTTCTTCTGGGTTACCAGTCTGTTCCTGTGCCACAGCTACCAGCTAATAGCAGCAGCTCACAAGGAATGAACTGCAACAATCCTTTTAACTAACTCATTCACTCACCAACCAACTCGCTCCACTCCACTAAGATAAAGTTTTCCCTGTGCTTAACTAATTAAGCACTACACCATGAAGACGTGTGGGGGAGTGGATATGTAGATCCACATTTTCTTGACCTCAGCACTAGCTGGAGGTGAGTGGACAGCTTCACTCCCCAGCCACTTTACCCCTGGCAAAAAAGCCCCTAATACTCATTGGATAGGAGGTTGGGTGGACCCCAAAGCTGGTCTGGACATGGAGAAGAGAAAATTCTTGAACCTACTGGGACTAGACCTCCAACCCCTCGGTTGTCCAGCCCGTCGCCAGTTGCCATACTGACTAAGCTATCCCAGCTAACTAACTCTCACTAATTGTTCTGCTTATAACATCTCAGCATGGATCACACAGAAAACACTGTTCCTCTGTTGCTGTTCAGTTGTTGCTTAGTGGACCACGCAGAAAGCACCATTCCTTTGTTGTTTGGGCTGCTGCCTAGCAGTGTCTGCTGTCCAGTTGCCTATCTTTCAGTCTGTGCCTAGAAACAGGTCTAGATACTACAGTATGTTGAGCATAGGTGTGTAAACATAAGCTTGTCATAAAATTAGGTTCTGAATGGATTTTCATAAAATTGTATACTTTTATGAATTATCCATCTGTTTCAATCTTTATTTAAATTGAACAGTTTTAACAGTTTTATGTAAAGACCTAAGTGTGTGTCTGCATGTCTCTTCAGCTTTCAGTGTGGATAATATGCAGATTGACCTTATTCAATTATATTGATCACATTTCTTGCACAGAATATCTCAGAGGAGAAGTTTACTCAGCTGTTTGAAGCCCTCCCTAGCAACACACACTTGGAGACACTGAGCCTGACAAACACTGCCATGACCGACACTACCGCTCTCAAGCTGGCAGAGGCCTTGGAACACAACAATACCCTGCGTGTAGTCAAGTAAGCATATTCTTATGTTATAAAATAATAATGTTAGAGGAGGAGTAGAGGAAATTGCATAATGAGGAGCTTCACAATTTATATCCATTGCCAAATATTATTAGGATCATAAAATGGAGGCAGACGAATTGGCAATGCATTAGCCTGCAAAAGAGAGATGACAAATGCATATACCGTTTTAATTGGCAAACCTGAATGGTGGAGGCCACTTTGAAGACCTAGGCACGTCTGAGTTGTTATATTGTAATTAATCCAGTGGCATACTCTTATAAACATAGTAATGAACCTTTGAGTTCCATATGTGCAGAAAATTCTGTGACTAGAGAAGTGACTGTCATCTTTTTCTAACAAGAAAAGAAAACATAACTCTTCTTCAGAGTTACTTTAATTAGTATTAAAAGATAAGTGTTTGGTTCAGTTAGGAGGGAAGTAATGTACAGTATTCTAATAGAGTTTGGGGTATCCATAAAACTAGTTGGCTGATTAGAATGTGTTAAATGAAACGTATAGTAAAGTCCATATAGGTAAACATTTCTTTACCTGTTGCCACTGCTTTTCATCTTTGCTTTAGAAACTGTCATTAGAAAGGTCCATGGAAAACTAGGTGAGACTGAAATTAAATGGGACACATCAGCTTCTTGTGTATGCTGATGTGAACCTACTGACAGATGACATAGATACCATGAAGAAAAACACAGAAACTGCAATTGACGCTAGTAAAGAGGTTGATCTATAAGTAAATGTAGAGAATACTAAGTATATGTTGCTATCTTATCACCAGAATGCATGGTAAAATCATGACATTGAAGGTAGCTAATATATCCATTGAAAATGTGGCACAGTTCAAATATTTGGGAATGACAGTAACAGATCAAAATTTGATTCATGAGGAAATTTAGAGGAGATTGAATTCAGATAATGTTTGCTACCATTCTGTCCAGAACCTTTTGTCTTCTCGTCTGCTGTCTAATTAGAATATACAAAAGTACAGTTTTGCCTGTGGTACTGTATGGGTGTGAAACTTGGTCTCTGAAATTAAGGGAGAAACAGACTGAGGGTGTTTGAGAACAGTGTGCTGAGAAGAATATTTGGACCGAAAGGGTATGAATTGACAGGGGGCTGGAGAAAATCCAAAATGAGGAGCTTGATAACTCGGAACTCTTGGCCAGGTATAATTAAAATGGTCAAGTCAAGGAGGATGGGATGAGCAGGGCATGTAGCACAAATGGGGATGAAGAGAAATGCTTAAAGGATATTGGCGGGAAAACCAGAAGGAATGAGACCAGTAGGAAGACCAAGATGTGTGTGGGTGGATAATATTGTGACATGATGCGCAACGGAGAACCCCTCCCTCCCCAGTGGTACGTGGCGGCATCATAGCGTTGTCGTTACTATGGTAATAGGCGAGTCAACAGCCCGCCCCTCTCCCCGTGGTGATGTAACACGCAACACAGCTGTGACACGGGTAACAGGCAGCAGCGTTACCCATTGCGTAACAGGCGGGCACTGTGACTATATAAGGGAACTACACAGCCACCAAAGTTAGTTGAATGTGTATCAGCGGCCGAAGACGGTTCTCCAGTCAGCAGTGAACGAGTTAAAAGTGTATCAGTGGCCGAAGACAGTTCTCCAGTCAGCAGTGAAAGAGTTAAGTGCATCAGTCGCCGAAGTGAGTGCTCAAGGCAGCAGCCTATGTGTTGAGTTGGAATATAGCAGCCGTCGCGGAAAGAAGAACCGGACGTGTGTGTAATCGTGTAATTGGAGTGTGTGATACAGCGACACTTGTATAGCTCCCGTATTGTAATTAATACGTGTAGACTACTGAGGACAGAGTGAATTGATTATTGCGAATAGGGTTATAAAGTGTGAAACCCCACAACAGTGTTGTAAGTAATTGTAGCCAGTACTTGTGGGTTGTTAAATAAACCAATTAACAATCCGAATGGCGTCTTCAGTAATGAAACACGTTACATTGATGTCAGAAATGGGCTCAGTAACGAAACACATTACAATATTAAAATTGATCTTAGAGAGATAGGATGGGGTGATATGGACTGGATCGGCCTGGCTCAGATTAAAAATATTACATTAAGTTGGTTGGTATAATCTTAGATGCAGGTATCTCTGTCTTATTCCCAGTATCTCGTGCTAATTAAATTTTGCCATTTTCAGCGTGGAAACAAACTTCATCAGTCCAGCCGTTATTGTGCGACTCATTAAATCCTTGCTCACTACAAAGTCTATTGAAGAGTTCAGAGCATCAAACCAAGTAAGAAATGTTTGTAGTGTAACTGTTTTGTAGGTTGGGTGGTTATAAATATTGTTCCTCAAAATGTGTCAGTTCAGTGTTTCCAGAATATTAGCGTCCTTTGTTTATCTTCCATCAAAATTGCAACACTTTTTACATTCTACACTCCAGCACTACATGTTTCGGCCCCAAACGGCCATCTTCAGATGTTTTTATGTTACAAATATTTTACTAAAACTGTGCTAACAGATGCTACGCTGTTTTAATTCACGTTAAAATCACACACTGTAGTCTTCTTTTTAAGTAAAACGAGATAAAATCCTTTAAAATTTCTGTTGCATATTATTTCACCTCCCCCGGTGTGTCGTCATTTTCATAAATGTGTCGAGGTGTTTTTTTTTCTCAGCAGCTTGCCCCTCACGTTCATGGTCTACTTTCAGTTTTTGACTTCCATATGCTCCTGGTTTGTGTGTGCTTCTTCCACAGCGTGTGGTGTTGTCTTTACTAAAATATCTGTAACATAAAAACACCTGAAGATGGCCGTTTGGGGCCGAAACATGTAGTGTTGAATTTTGACAGAAGATAAACAATGACTGCTAATTTGAACAATTGCAACAGAATGCTGAAATACAGAATCCAGAATATTGTTTAAATTATTTCAGTCCCTTAAAGTTCTTTATTTTTGCATTTATTTTTTGGGGGGGTTAAACAAGATTTAAAAAAGAGGCGTGACTGCCTTCAGTTAATAATCTAGTCGAATCTTATTGCAGTGTATTAATAAAACTATTTAATTTTTAATGTCCTGCAGACCAGAAATTTATACTGCTCTGTTTGAAAGAAATAAAATATTTTACCCTAGAATGCCGAGAGAACTAAGATTACAAAATGCGGGTGTCATCAGAGACATTTGCAGTATGTAATGAGTTGGAAAGGTGTCATATAATGGAGTGCACAGAGATTTTGAAGATCTCTGCAGTAGAATTTCATCATTTATTTCATATTTTGTTACACAAAATAAAGGGAACATTAAACCTTGAACAAAACCTCATAAGAAACAGTAGCACAGATGAATTATGTTGGTTCACTACATTTATGTTGCTAGAAACCCTGTCAGAATATTTGGTGCCATGTCTGATGTGACTGTTGCAGTAATTCTGTCCTTTTTTATGATCACAAGCCTTCGTTTTTCATTTATGTTTCCTTCTTTCCCTTCGGTGTATTTACCATTGTTATTCATGTTGATTTTAGATAGTCAGTGTGTTTCTCCTGGAAACTCTGAATTAATTTATTACTTGTTCCTTTATTGAAAGCCATCACAACACAACAGTTAATAATATATGTTTGTAGTTTCAAATAGCACTTTACTACATGTTTCGGCTTTCAAGAAGCCATCATCAGGTAAATACACTTAATAACTTCTTTAGCTATTGAATTGCGAGCTAATTACATGATGTAGTATTAGATTTTTCAAATAGTATACAATAATATAAAATTAAATTGAAATTAATGGTCTTAAAATTAACTAGTTACATAATTAAAATTCAGTTAAGAGTTGTACATACAAGTATATTTCAAAGTAGGCAGTTGTAATCGTAATAACATGTGGTGGTGCTTATGTGAACATGTTGTATACACAGACCGTTGTTATGGTGTTCGGAAGTCTGTTGCTACATTGTACATTATCATTTAATTTTGATCTCTATTTGACGGGTGCCTCTGTTTATGTGTATATGTCTTATCTGGTGAGGAGATGGATTACAACTTATTTATTACTTGGTTTTACCTCTTTATATGTTGCCAATGTTTGGGTTCCATTATAAATGTAAAGCAGTAAAAGTGAAACCATTAAACTTCTTTGGGAATCGGTGGATTTGAACACTAAATTAGGGAAATGTAAGGAGATATAATCTCTGAGATTACTGAACCTTAAATGAGGGAAAGTATAATTTGAGAAACATTAAAAGGGGGTTCTACTGTAATATTACGTCTCTCTGATGGTCAGTGATTGTCTAATGATAAGGGGTTATCTCTTACTAATAACAGCTTCACTGATTCAAATCGTAGCTTCTCCAGGGCTTTTAAACGAAAAAACCGAAGAAATCTACCAAAAATATTTATATATATATATGACCAGATGTGTAACCGTATTTCAGCAGTTCAAAATGAAATGCTAGAGCCACATTTTGGACTTCTGTGGTGTTACAGGAAATTGTGGACATACGTAACTTCCCAGTAAAATATTTGGTGCCATTCTTTGCATAAAAATGCTTAATAGGATTAACTTTTAATAAAGTGACTGACATATATTTATTTGTGTTTTGTCAGGCAGCAGTTTTGAAAGTAGCACCAGTATCTGTTGTTTGAATTGTAGTCATGCATATTTATGTTCCAAATTTGGTAAATTGGTTCAGATAATGAAAGGAAGACTGACCTATGGGAAACTTCAGAGTGTTTACTAGCAATATTTATATGCAGAGAAAAATATTATGTTTTTATTTGAATAAGGAATGTCAGCTGCAGGAAATTTATACTTTTCTTACTGCTTGCTTTTCTGCTATGGCTCTGTGGCTGTCATATTTCTGAGTAAAAGCCTTGTTTGTCTTTAGTTTCTTGAATTTTGTATTATGAAGTATCTGTGTAAAGAATGTTAGAAGTCTGAAATGTCCAGAAATTTTAATTTATCTTATATTAAAACAGACAAAGAATAAATGAAAATGTTAATGTTTTAGCGCTCCCAAGTATTGGGAAATAAGATCGAGATGGAGATAACAGGGCTTGTGGAGCAAAATCCCACTCTCCTAAGGCTTGGTCTGCACTTGGAATATAATGATGCTCGTCACCGCATTGCAATGCACCTGCAGCGCAATATCGACAGGAGTAAGTATCTGTCCCCATCTTTATACTTACATTGTCACAAGCATTGCAAACATCTGGAGCAAGCCAGCCGGTTATTATGTTTCTGATAGGATGTTGTATTTTAAATGTTTGATGTCCTTGATACTTCGTAATATGTCATGAATTGCTTTACTAGATGCCTTATGTGTTTTTTTGGTTGTATAATCTGTCATTACTAGTTTATGTACATATTCTGGCAGTTTGTTGTAAGCAGAGCACTAAAGCTGTAAGAAGGAAATGTAATATTTTATTGTACTGGAATCTGTTATGTGGTGATTTGATGTTTATGTGTACACTCATAAGAGCATCAATTGACATGCAGGAAGGACCGCTCGCTATGATCAACACCTGAGAATGGTTTCTTTGTTCTGTGATTAGATTGTAGTGTTATTTGTGCTATAATACTGGGACAGTAATTTTTAGCTTTTAATAGATACGAAACAGACTAAATGGGTTTCTGGTTGTGACATTCTGCATAATATCATTCTATAATGGCATTCCCTGTAAGTGAAAGAATGATTCAGATCATACCATACCTGACTACATTTTTTAAGGAAACACATCTCATTTTTTAAACTTTTAGAAAGTTCATAGCAGGATCACCAGCGATATTTGGACCTGTTGTTTATCATGATAGCAAAACTGTTTCTGGTGGAGTAATTCTTCTTACAGTGTATTTAAATCCACCATAAATTGCAATAGTTTACAAAGTCAGCATGTCTAACTTCTGTCACTTAGCACATTAAAGTATTAAAAGACAAATTTCAGAACTGTTGTCTATTGGTCCCTCTCTGACTTTGTCCAGGGAGTGTCTCTTAAAATCATTGTGAGACTGTTTTATTGAAGTCCTTTAAAAGTGCCTAGATAGTACCTGTATATCTTATTTTTATTAATTCACATTATATCGTTACTGGCGTACTTGATATTATAACTTGAATTCTGTTTAGTGATCTATGATTTGACAAAGTTATGGTTACGTGTGCTAGCAGATGTTTGCAGTGCAAATTGTAAATGATTTATCCTATACCAGTTCTTCAGTTATCAGATTTGTATATGTGTATTTTTGTATTTAGGTGTTGCTGTCATCGTTTTTAAAATATTTCTATTCTTACAGATTGCTACTGTGATGCAGTTATTGTTTTCTTTACAGTATCTAGTGTCTTAATATTTTCATATTGGAATGAAACTTATTATTTTACTTTTAATGTACAGGTGAAGCTTTGACAGAATTAACTTTGTGAAATATGTACTTAGTTTCATTATTATTTTAGGTTTCTTCACTTTGAATATTGGCAGATGTTTCTTGGAGATTATTAAATACAGTGACCTGACTACAGATGTAACTTGTGGTAACTTTGTGTTATAGGATATAAACTAAAAATTAGGTCATAAGTCCTCAATTGGCGCTGGTTGAGAATCTGAATTAAAGTTAATGCATCCTGTGCTTCTAATATTAGATCAGCATTGTAGATGCAAACATGTGGTTCTTATTAGAATGTGGTTAACATGTGAAAGTGGAATGTGTATTGAGTAATATTCTTATATAGAATCTAAATTTCAAATATGTATGAAACAGTGTGTTTTCCACTTTCCTCTATAGAGATGATACATCGTCAGGTTAAAATGTGAGATAGTTGTGGCATATTTCATGTAAAATTTGTGATTTGTAATGTTTTTGTACTGGGTAGTACAACTTCAAAATTTTATACTGATTATATAAAAAATCTTACTGATGTTAATAACTAGGCAGTATGTGTGAATTTTGTTTTACATAGCAAATGTCATCTAAAGAATTTTCACATTTTGAACAAAGTATTCTTTTGTTATGTAATCTGTTTATATTTGTTTGAAACATTTATTGCCTGTGCAAGTGAGTTGCAATTGCCTTCTTATAAATACGTGGTGCAATCCAAAACTTCCAGAAATATATTAATAAAAACTATTACATCTTACCTAGATCTTATTCTGCACCATCACTTTCAAAGTAGTCCCCTTGGGAGCACATACACCGATCCCAGCGTTTCTGCCACTTTTCAGATGTTTAGTACCGTCTGCGTTTCCGCTTGAATTTCCTCAACTGTATCAGATTTTCGCCCCTTCAACTTGATTTTCATCTTGGGGAAGAGAAAGAAGTCGCATGGATCTAAGTCTGGCGAGTACGATGCGTGGGGAACAACTGCCATCTTGTTTTTAGCCAAAAACTCCTGCACAATGTAAGCCATGTGTTGTCATGGTGGAGTACCCAGTCGTTTGTGCGCCACTTCTCTGGACGTTTTGTCCTCATGTTCTCCCTCAAACACCTTAGAACATCGTGATAGAACTCTTTATTGACTGTCTGACCAGGAGGGACGAACTCCTTATGAACAATCCCATTAATATCAAAAAAACAGATCAACATGGACTTAATGTTGCTCTTGACTTGTCGAGCTTTCTTTAGCCGAGGTGAAGAAGTGCTCTTCCATTGCGACGATTGCTGCTTGCTTTCAGGGTCGTAGCCATAAACCCAACTTTCGTCACCAGTGACAACCTTCGAAAGAAAGTTTGGATCCTCTTGAAGCTGTTGCTGAAGTTCCCTGCAGACTTCCAAGTGATGCTGCTTCTGTTCATTTTGCAGCAGTCGTGGCACAAACTTCGCCGCAATCCTCCTCATGTTCAGTTCCCTTGACAAACTTCATTGACATGTACCATAACTTAGTCCCAAGGTGTTACAGATGTCTTGGATGGTCAGTCTACGATGTTGCAGAATCAGATCCCTAACTTTCGCGACATTTTCTGGTGTTTTGTGCGTTGACGGCCGTCCCAAACGATCGTCATCATCAGTCAATGTTCGGTCATTTTTAAAACGCTTATACCAGTTGTAAGTTTGTGTCTGGCCTAAACTGTTTTCACCTAAAGCTTGCTTCAACATTTGGTGCGTTTCTGCAGCGGTTTTCCCAAGTTTGAAACAAAACTTTATACAGACACGCTGCTCTCTCAGGTCAGCCATCGCAAAACCGCAAACTCATGGAAACACAACAATGGAAATACATTCACCAACAATAAACCCAACCACTCAACTCGACGCCGCTTGTCACACTGATTCAAGAAGGATGTGTGAGGAGACACCTAGCGGTATTTAGATGTACTCATAACCATTCACACGCAAAATTCAAATTTTGGAAACTTTTGGATTGCCCCACGTACATAGTATGAGATAATTACAAAATAATGATTATTAACATTAAGCTGTAAATTAGTTCATGGCAACAGATTAGTAACTGTAGGAGTAATTAACACATATCCGCATAATTTATAGGTTATGTATTAGCAGTATTTATTTGAATACCTTACATCAGTAAATAAATTAAGACATATTCACCTTTCTAAGAAGGGCATAAGTTTTGATTTCTGACGTTGAGGTTATTGGCATCAGTTGCTTAATTGTGTTGATTATTTATAATGTATGAAATAGTACATTCATTTCTTTTTTTTATTTTCTCCTCATTTGTTTTTGTGCATCTGCAGGTATCAGAGATGTCATGTCTCCCCCTCCCCCCTCCTTTATGTTTGATTTCCTCCAGCTCTCATTTTGTATGTACACATGCATATGTGAATTAACACTGTACACACAATATACAGGCTACAAAGAGTATCCTGGGATGTTGCGCTGTGTAGTCTAGTAGAAATATACTGATGTTTTGGCAGAGCATACTGCCTCTCACTTCAGGGTTGAAGAGTAAGCCAAGCAAGGCAGAAGCAAAGTAAACCAAGTGTGGACCAGGTTAGGATCTCTAAGGAAGCCAGTGAGAACAGGAAGAGGAGTGGAAGAGTAAATGAGCTGTAAAAGGCCGTTAGAGTAGCAGGAGGGGAGAATACTGGCTGCAGTATCCAGTGGGAGGTGTAACAAGACTAGAGAATAACAAAACAGTTTAGGAGATTATAGAGAGGATAAAAAGGAAAGATGTAGGAGGATTGGGAATCATGATATGTGTGGGAAGCTGGAAAAGTGGCTGAAAGCCAGAGGAGGGAGAGTTATGTTGTGTGTGGGAGGATAGACAACAAAGGCTGAAAGCCAGAGGAGGGAGAGTCATATTGTGACTGGGAGAACAAATAACTTTTGCTTAAGTTAGAGTGTGGAAGGGGATTAGAAAGAGAAGTGGAAGAGGGAGGAGAGGCATACCGGAGGGGCTGAAAGCAAATCTCAAAACTTAGTGCTGTCTTCCAAGGAGATAGTGCCTTTCCCCATTGGGCATGCAAGGTGCACAGCTTTTTTTTTTTTATTTAAAATCTGATGAAATGTGTAACTGGAGAGCTCAAATGCCGTGTCATCCAGTGCATCTCAATATGAATAACTTCTTATGGTGGTAATGTGAAAGCATTGTGTTCGGCCAACAACCTTGTTGACAGTGTAGATGCCCTCCCCTCCCCCTCCAATAAAAAGAAAAATTGGTTCTTCATTTGCCACAGTAACACCAGAGATGCTTGAAGATGCTTCGCCTGCCTTAGTTAGTTAGTTATTTAGAGAGGGCGGGTTTCCCCATGCACCGCGACCAGTTTGATCTATTGTGCTTCCCTCTATGATATTCTACCAGTCTCTTTACCCTACCGATAAATGGTGCGTACCATCAGTCCCGCCAAGCAAGCGAGTTCGGCCACTTGCTTAGCGGTGTCTATAATGCTTCCCCCATCTATCAGAGGCCTTAGAGGCTATTGTTGGGCGGGAAACGTCCTGGAATTTGGCTCAGTGATCCCCTTTGGGGATATGAGGTTCTTTTACGTGCTGTAAAGTTACGACACGGGACACACAGCCCAAAGTCCCTCCCAGAGGACTTGTTCCCTGAATTTTTCCGCTCTTAAAAATTCGACGACCTCCGCCGGGTATTTGAACCAGCGTACCACGAGTCATGAGGTGGGAACGTTACTTCGCCTGCCTTTATATGAGATTTAAAAGGGAGGCTCCATAGATAATTCGGTAGTTTTGCGTTAATACGTAATTTTTTTTT